TTATAGTGCACATCGGATAATGCCGAACATACATGAAGAAAAATACAAGGGTTACTTCAAAATGCTGTAACTTTGTAGAAAAAAAATCGTAGCGACTTGTTTTTTTTTCAAATTAAAGAGAAAGATTCCAACTTTATGACGCTGGAAACCGCATCCCCGGGAAAAATTTTAGCAAGTCCGTGCACTCGTTCAAACTTTGCAATTTTCAGTGTGGCAAACATGCTCTCAGATTTAAGAGTTTACAGCAACAGGGGTGCATTAAATTAAAAATCGACTCACAGTATCTTGAAGTAGAGATTTCAAGCTTTCATTTGAAAAAAAGTTCATCATTTTACGATGATTTTTCGCGGAGTTACCGTTAACCAAAGTTGACCAATTTTTGCTCAAAATTTTTCTATGCCATAATTTTTTTGAGCAGTGTATATGTTAAATTCTTATATGAAATTTTTTTTATATATTTCCCGTATTAAGACAACCCTGAAAAAGGCTGGATCTACAATTAATGTGCTCTTTGTATCTTGTTTCTTACTTTTTAGCACTTTTTGCTACCTCTGTTTTTTTGCTTCTTATATTCTGATCCTTTATTTTCGCCCGGGATATAAATGTTGACAAACTTCGGAAGAGACAGGAAACACATGACGAAACACGATTGTCAATAAAACGGTCGCAAATAGGGAAAATTAAGGCAAGAGGTAAAAAGCAAAAGTAAGCAGGAAGCAAAAAGTACATCGTAGATCCACCCTAATTTGATACAGAACTCAACATTGTTTACACGTGTATAAAATTCGCTGTTCCGCCTGGTATCATTTTGTACTAACAAACTGACAAGTTTTTGTACGAAGCAAATATTGATACGTGTTGACAGCTCTAGACGCCATATTGGACTTTTATTTAATTCTATTTATTTATACTTAAGTGTTTTTTAAATCACTGAATTTAAGTTTAATATCAAAATTGATAAAATTGTGGATTTAATTTAATAACTGTTAAACGTAAAAAATGTTCAGATTGTTGCAAAAATTGAATCTATCATTTTCAATTTTTAATTTTGACATCAGATAAAAAGATGTTATAATTTTTTAAAAATAATTTTTCTAAATAATATTTAGATTTTCGATAATTTTCCTGTTTAAATTTAGCTAAAATTAGAAATTCTTTCTTGTATCCATTCCATTTGTAACAAAGATAAATTTAGTTAATTAGAATTATTTAAATTATCGTTCAGAAAACTTTATTTTATATATAATATAAAAAATATGTTAATAAAAAATTTCAATATACTTTTAATTTATTTTAAATGTATACAAAGATCACGTTAGTATACATTGTATATTATTTTACATCAGCTTGCTGAATAAAAGCATATATTTTGTTCTGAGGACAATTTAAATATAAAATATATTTTTAGAGTTTATATTAAATGCAGGAATTTAATTAATAGTACTGTATTGTGTCTTTATCACAGGGACAAATAAAGGAGGAAACCAGAAATATTCTATTCTAAATGTAATATGGCAAAAAATATTCACAACGCTCATACTATGTTCATAATATAAATATATTTTATGTTTTTAAAAATATATATTAGTAATTTAAAATAATTTTCACAAACTTATTGTAACAAGGCAAAAAACAAATACATTTTATTACTTGCTACTTACATGAAAGTATCAAGTACTGAATCAGCTCTGTAACTGTTTATAAATGTATAGAAAAATTTAATATAACATATATTAAATGTTTTATTATTCCATTAAAGAACATTGTAAAACTAAGTTGTTATCAAAGACTTGATAGATGTAAAATAAATGTAGAGATCTTTTCTATAGCAATTTTTTGTAGTTTTATATTCAGGATGACATTCATTAGTGTTAAATGTTATAACGATAATACATAATATTTGCCTTTGTAAGTTGTATTCATTAATAAGTGGTATTAATTGGAGGCAACATCGGATAACGATTTGAAAGTATAAGTAACAGACTTATTGTACATCTTTGCAAATATTAATCTGTCAAAGTTCTTTTAAAAGAGCTGATTTAGCGTTTTTAAGTTTATCTAATCTCCTTTGTAGATGAGAATTTGCTGTTTCCAATTCCTCTACACGACTTTGTGTTTCTCTTACCTAAAAATAAAAATATTAAACAAACATAAGCATCTATAATTTTCTAAATTTTTTTGATATAAATGTATTTATCATATTTATATTTTACGCACGCACACACGCACGCACGCACGCACGCACGCACGCACGCACGCACGCACGCACGCACGCACGCACGCACGCACGCACGCACGCACGCACGCACGCACGCACGCACGCACGCACGCACGCACGCACGCAGCAGCAGCAGC